TCAAAACTCACCTATTTACAATGTTTCTTAATTAATTGCTTGCCTTAATTTTCTGTTCTATGCTTTTGTAACTTATCTTGTATATTGCATATTTTTTCACCTCTGTCTGCTGTTTGGCTGTTTATATGTTGTATACTATGTTATTTACCTTATGTAAAGTGTCCTTGGGTGTTTGAAAGGCGCTATATAAATAAAACGTATTATTATTATGTTAATACGGCTTGCCATGCTGGGATGCGACACCTGTGTGTTCTGTATTCTAAATCGATTCTTCTGTATTCTATTGGAAAAATTGACAATTACTGTCGATTGCTAATAAACCAACGCTTTATTAAAGATGATGAGCGTCTGTACAGTTGCGTTCCTTTTAAATAATGATTGATTGAACCATATTCATTGTGGTGCTTATAATACATCAGCTTTATGGCTTTGATGCACCATCTGCACGGTCTCTCTGCACCTGATGCTAACGTTGCGGGGTTTTTTCCCCATTAATTTCTCCAGACGCATCATTAATCCGCCCTCCCAAAAATCCGCAACAATTTGCGAGAGGTTTCCGTGATTTCAGACGTGTGAGCAATAAATACAACAGCACGTGTACTGGGCGGTCACGGCCACACGGTGTTCACGTGGCTGAGGACCAACACTAAGCATTGCTGGTGAATGTTGGCACATTATATCTAGACGCCGATTTCATCAACAACCTCGCCAGCCATGGACCTTGAAGTGGAATCAGCAGAGTAAGTAAACCGTTATTCACTTCGAATCGAATGAATGGGATTCTGACACTGTATTTAATCGTCTTATGATTCCAGAAAAAAATACAAATGCTTTATTATGGACGGATAAACTTAATGAAGCTTGTGATTTTTAGTAATTTTTGTAATGGCACTAACTGGATGATATCGGGAATCAAATGCAATGTCAGTATAGTGTGTTAATTTTTACGTATCAACAAACATTCATCAGTCGTTGTGCTAGACAAAAGTTTCGAGTAGAATTTATTAATAAAAACCAGTCTACGTCAGCGTTTTTTCCACAACCCAAACAGCTAAGATAGTAAAAGTAATGTCGATTAAACCCTGCAGTTAAATACAGATACAGACCGTTTAGTTGATGTTTTTGTAAAGCTCCGGTGACAGCTCGTAGGCCTATTAACGGCGTCCGTCACTTTTTGCAGCGTGATTCGTCTGATCATGCAATATCTGAAGGAAAATAATTTGCACCGCACTCTGGCGATGCTTCAAGAGGAGACGGCAGTCTCGCTCCACACGGTCGACAGCATCGACAGCTTCATCTCCGATATCAACAACGGGCAGTGGGATATAGTGCTGCTAGCAATCCAGTATCTGAAGCTTCCTGACAAGCTGCTCATTGAGCTGTACGAACAGGTAAATAAGTGAAGCAAACCTGGCAGCATGTCAGTAGCAAATGAAATCTTCACGCAGACTCTTACTGATCAGTTTGTGTTCAAACTGCTTTCTTAAAGAACCGAGTGATGTCTGGTTGTATGTGTAGATTGTGCTGGAGTTGATTGAGTTGGGTGAGCTGGGAGCAGCCCGGTGTTTACTAAAGCAGACCGATCCCATGATCATGCTGAAGCACACTCAACCTGAGCGCTACTCGCACCTGGAGACCCTTCTCAGCAAGCCATACTTTGACTCACAAGAGGTAAATGTTTACATTGGATTAATGGGTTAGGTGAGATGTTTAGATATATATAAATGGCTGAGAAATTAATATTGGTGATTTACACTCTAGTGCAGGGGTTGCCAGACTTTTTGGTCAAGTGAACCCCTCAAATGTAAAATATTTACTTGAATTATCCCCTTAGATTTTAAGTCATTATTTTAATAATTTGTCACATGTAGTCACATTCACATGTTAAAATATTTTTTTTTGTGTGTGTGTTTTTTGTACAAAAGAAGCAAGTCAAAATTATTCAGGAAAATATGATTTTCTTATCAAAGTGCTAAAAAGTTTTGTTGCAAAAATGAGTACACCCTCCTGAAAGTTACTAAATAGAATGAAACTAATTCAAAAAAATGTAAGATATAATTATATTACAGTCGTAAAATACAATTATCTTGTAAAATAAAAAAAATAACATTTGATAATTATAAGCCTAATATATATATATATTACACTGTAAGTCGCAATACTGATATTTATGGCTTAAATTCTTCATTTTCAAACATTTAAACCTTATTTGAACGGAATACCCGAATACTGTAAACTTTTCTATCAACAGAAATGTTTGAATGTGTAACTAAAACAACTGGAAATGTATCACACCAGAAGCCTCGCACATTCAGGTTACAAAAGGCATCACCCACTCTTAAAAATAAGGTGGAAATAAATAAGATATGTATTTTTGTGTAACAATGATTTATGCTTTTTTTTTGTCTCGCCACTGGCCTACAGGCATATCCAGTGGACAGCAGTAAAGAGAAGCGCAGACTGGCTATTGCTCAAGCTTTTGCAGGAGAGGTCTGCTTGGTGCCACCTTCTCGTCTCATGGCTCTTCTGGGCCAGGTTTGCTACCTTTTATGTCTTTTTTGACCTAGCCTGTTGCATTCTGTATATCAGTTGTAGCTGTTGTATTGCATGCATCAAATATCCTTTGTTTTTATAGGGCCGTATATGTGAGGGCGCTTTATACAGGTTACAGGAAACCAAAGCACTACGGCAGTTTGGCTCATTAGCAATGCTGGTGAATAAAAAAAAACCAAACTCTACTACTTGAGCAGTGTTACCTGGCTTTTTCTTATTCGACTTTACATCCTCTACTTTTCCCCCACTTTGTCTTTGAAGTCGTTGAAGTGGCAGCAGCACCAGGGTCTCTTACCTCCAGGTATGTCTTTGGAACTGTTCCGGGGAAAAGGTGCATTGAAGGACATGGAGGAAGAGCGCTTCCCTACTCAGCTCAGTCGCCTCATAAAGGTGCTGTAAACACAACAGTGTGATCTCAGTCAGTTTAACTGTTAGAGAAAATATAAATGATTATTCTTACTGTTTGAAAAAGGTGGTGCAAATGTTTTAATATAAGATAGAATATAAGAAATAAATAATGGATGCTATTCCCATCTGCATGATAAGGCATCTTATCTGAATATCCTACATGCCACAAGGCTCAGCATATGCACATTTAATTGCTTTTGTGACCTGAGGCTTTCATCTGTATCTTGCACTCTCTGTGTTCTACCTTGCTTGCTTTAACACCACACTTTTGGATTAATATCAGCATACAATTTTTGGGAGGTTTATAGTGTCCCAAGGCAGGTGGGTATTGTCTAGGTAAGGGTTTTCAATTTGGGATCCAGGGAACCCCAAGGGATCTCAAAGGGGTGCTGGGATGTCTGCAAAAAATGTATAGAAAATGATTCAAATAAAATGATTCAAAACATTATCAATTTTTTTTAGAGCGGTCAAAGTTAATGCATTAACTCAAAACTGCTTTGTAACAATATTGATAGTTTAAAGCGCTTATTAAAATAATAATATATTTGTAATTTTTGTTTTTTGATTTTCTGTTTGTCCATGTGTGTACATGTATGATACAGTTTGGGCCAAAGTCCCATGTAGAGTGTGCGCGATTCTCTCCTGATGGACAGTACTTGATTACTGGATCTGTTGATGGTTTCATTGAAGTCTGGAACTTCACCACTGGTAAAATTCGGAAGGTGAGTATATACTGCCCATCAAATAAACTGTATTTCATATAAATTAGGAAAAATACTTGTTTTTATTACTTTTTTCTTGTATAACAATTATGTAATAATTTTTATTATATTTATATAATAATAATGTAATAATTATATAATGTTTTTATTTCTATATGCAGAACTGGTCAGAAGTTTAGAATAATTAAGATTTGTAATATTTTTTGAAAGGAGTCTCTTATGCTCACCAAGTCTGCATTTATTTATCAAAAATACAGTAAAAACATTAATATTGTGAAATATTATTACAGTTTAAAATAACTGTGTTTTTTTTAATATACTTTAAAATATAATTGATTCCTGTGATGGCAGAGCTGAATTTTCAGCAGCCATTACTCAAGTCTTCAGTGTCAAATGATCCTTCAGAAATCATTCTAATATGCTGATTTCAGGATTATTTGATGAATAGAAATTTTAATGAGCCACATTTATTTGAAATAGAAATCTTTTGTAACATTACAAATGTCCTTATTGTCACTTTTTGTCACTAAAT